AGGCTTCAATCCAGTAGTAGTAATCCGAATTCCATTTTCGTTGCCGTCGATTAATCTGAATTCATATCAGTTACAATTCTCCGACGACCTTCCCGGCGAATAACTTTTGTACAGAATTCGTCAATTTCATTGGCAAAGTAACTTCTTTCCTTTTGTTAAACCAATGCCTCGGTAAGCACAATACTTTTTCAGCTATTTTTTTTTTCGGTTTTATGCTCATTTTCTCGATTTCAGTTCTATCGTTGATCATTTCTGTGATTTTTCAGGTATTACTGTGACTATTGTGACACTTACTTGACACATGATTCGGTGAGTTTTCTGATTATATTTTTAAGGTTCACTGTGAATTAAGATTGTGATAAGTTCTACACTTCTACTTCTGTTCTAATGGTAGCATTGTGTATTTGTATGCTGAAATTAGAACACTAATTTCATAAATTCATCAAAACTTTCATACAGCCTATGGTCGGTAGTTTGATGTTTTTGGCAAGTATAGTTTGTAGTCTCCAACTACACTTAATGCATATAATTAGCAAATAAATCTAAATTTATTGTTTTGATTCATTAGTCTGTTTGTCCAAAATTAAAATGTTTGAGTCGGCGTAATTTGCCAAGTTAAGACTTGAGATATATGCTTATGGATTGTGTTAAGTGTCTTCGAGGATACAAGAAAAGATAATAGTCCTAATGAGAATTGTTGTATAGTAGGTGAACACTTTTTAGTTTGAGAAACATGGCATTACTGAGGAAAGATTATGGAAAGAATAGCTACTACTTAAAATTCAATTTCCATTTATACATGCAAGAACTGTCTCATGGTATGTCCTAGGTTAAGCATTGCATGTTTATCATGTGTTGGATCTTTTACAATGTTAAGCACAGCTGAGTTTTTTTATGACTTGAACGTAAACGAAATTTCTAGTTGGGGTTATCAGCAATTACGGCTTAGACTTAGAGTCTGATTGGACCAGTGGAAACCCTAGTCCTCATCCCACAAATAATGCTTCCAGAGTTGGCAAAGGAGTTACCACATTTAATGAAGTTTTATGAGGCATCTGTTCAAATAATTACTCCACCACACACGGACTTTCGAGGTCCATCTAGAAATGGGAAGAGAGCAGATTGCAATTAAAGGGGTTGAATATAAGCTAATTATCCAATGTGATGGAGAACTGAAATATCATTAGAATATGGAACTATTTGGATTGCCTGTAAACAAAAAGTGCTTTATAATTGATTACCATTTGTCCTATTCATATATGCAAATAAGTTGCAGATCATCAACTCGTAGTGTAGCACATGATGCAACAGCATTCTATATCATAGTTCTTTTACTACTGCTGTCTATTTAGTTTATAATTAGTTGCTTCTTTAGTGGGCATCTTACACCAACTAGGCTGAAGTAATGTGACAGTATAGCATGAAACGGTATAAAGCTCTTAAATCTTGATAACAATTTTTTGAGAAAAAAAACTTTCATTTCTCTTTCTATGCACCTCAAGTGATGACTCAGCAAAGGATTTATCCGCCAAGTTTCTTTGGAGGTTTTGTCATGTCAAAATCTAGTAAATAAGTTTTGGTCTTTCTTCTTTAGAAGATAATGTATAGTAGAACACATGACAGACTGGATATCAAAATGGCAATTTACTGCTGAACCAATCAAGATAGGGGTTTGAGTCAAACCAGTGACTGCAGACAAGACGCGAATTGGGATGATATTGGAAACTTGATCCTTGTGATTCTGGTGCTGGATTTTAGTCGGAACTGATGTGCTAAATGTGATACTAAAGCTGAGGACTAGAATCACAGCATAAGCCAGAAATTATTTTAGTACCTTATGAATCAATACCCTTTTTTAGCATTTTGAATGGAATGAAGGAATATACAAATTTTCTGATTCGGTCGGAAAGTAACATTGACCTGTAATCAGATTGTTTGAAGGCTGTAAACCACAAGCATAAACATATACAGAATCACATAGGAAAGGTCGATTTAGTTGTCATACAAGAGAATCAATGATGTTGACTGCACTGATTCTGAGGCACTTCATATTTCATATAAGAAGAAAAGACAAAGTACAAGTTTGATAGCTAAGTTCACTTCATTTCTCCCAAAAAATAAAATAGAAGATTGATAGCTGGTTTGTCCAAAAATCTTTTGGGGAATTACAAAGAAGGTGTCCACTATTAAATTTATCTGATTTTCGGGGAAGAAGGCAGGCACTACTAAACTAGGAACAATGCACATTCCTAAAAGATAATATTGTAGAACTTGAGAATTCAATAGGAGGTGTTGTTGTAACAAAAGACAAGTAGTAAAAGAACTCATTTGATATGGACAAAAAGTGTGTGTTTAAAGCTCACTCTCAACATTGAATGACTATTTCCTTGGTGCAAAAAAATGAACTATAAGAAAGACTCATTTGATATTTACTACCTTGACTAAATACCATAGTGCGTTGACTGTGGGGGTGAAACTAGTGTGGTTGCAGCCAGAATTTTGGAGCAGTTGTAGGTGCAAAGAATCAACATATGTGTGGGAAAGTTAATCTTGTTGAACCTATCCAGTTTTGAATCTTTCAGCATCTTAAGCCTTGAGCAATAACTTGTTCCACGGTGGAAAATCTGAGCTATATCCGAATGATGCTCTTATTTATCAAAACTCAGCACATCAATCACTTGATACTATGGTGTATCTTCCAAACTGGAAATATTTTATTCGTGACTTGAGATCAGCTGTACAAGTCTTGATGCTAATATTTTCTTTTCTATTTTGATCATAAACAAGAACATCTTGATGCGAATATTCATCATACTTTATAGTGGTACTTGTAATTCTGCTGCACAAAATGTATCTTTTTCTGCAACTCCTGGGAGTTGTGCATTGTACCTGTTCAAAACAAAACTTCTGGGAGTGTGCATTCTATTGTGTGAATGATCTGAAACAGTTTTAGATTGTCCTCTGCTTCTTGTTGCTTGGAGGTCTGATTTATTTTATTTTATTTTTTGAGAAAGGTAACTCTACTTGGAGGTCTGATTTCTTAAACTTTTTCTCTTAAATTCTCAGCCTTCTGTCAGAAAACAGCATAATGCCGGTTACAAACACAAGGTGTGTGTTCATATTTTGCAACTTTTCTGACAATCCTGTCTCCTAGCATGAATGTCATGTTTTCTGTGATTCTACTAACGTTAGGAATTGTTTTCAGGCTAATGTACGGTCTTATTATCTGAAGCTTGAGGAGGAGCAAACACAGATTCTGATAGATCAGAAAATCAAGGAGCGGCTTGGGCAGGCAGTAGCCTACCAGCAAATAGGTGCAGCTTATAATCAGCATCTTGCTGCCTTCCCTGGTCAACGACCCCGCCTACCTATGATGCCACCTCCTATGCTGCCTGTTCCAGGAGTGATGCCCCCACAATTAATGGCAGGTGCCAGGCCTCCCATTTTGCCAGTTCCAGTTCTTGGTGCTCCAGGTACCAATCCATGTGAATTGTTTGGTGATCCCTCAATATTTTCTGCCACGTGTTGGTATCTATGTTTATCAGGCTGTTTCTGTCTTTTTCATTTTGTACATTGAGTGGGATAATATCCTTCTGCAGGTATTTTATGATGGACTTACTGTTTTGAAGCACGCCCCACCCCCACAGTTTAGGTTGAGGCATTTTCGTTAGTTCCGGAAGTTAATGATTGGTGTCAATAAAAGTGTTGTAGATAGTTTGTTACACTTGCTGCAGGTTAATGAACAATCAAGTGGAAACAAGATTACTCTGATCTTAACTTCTTGATGCCCTTTTTAGGTTATTCTGCGGTTCCTCCAACTGCAGGGCAGATGCCACCTGTTGCATCCTTGCCGATGCAACCCAATGTTTTTCCAGCTCCTCCTGCACTGAACCCCCTTGTAGGTGTTCCGGGTGGAGCCCCTCCACCTAGTCTAGGCAGCGCCCCTTTTCCTGCTACGCAATCAATGTACCAGCCAAATCCCAATGGAATTGCTGCCTCTTCTGCTAATGAGACAACAACCAGCTAAGTTTGTGCTCAAGCCAGTGATATTTTGACCATCTTCTGTATTCTCAGTAGGATATTATGGTTTTGGATGAAATGGCAAAAGAACAATGGCTTCTTAATGAGTACCGGTACTGAACATCATCAAGTTCTGATAATTGTAGAGAAGAGAGAACTTTTGCTTCTGGAGTTTATTCTAGGAAGAATATCATGTCCTTGATCTGATTTAATGAGTATTTGCTGGTTCTCATGTATTGTACCTTAAATCTCAAAAAAGGGAACTCGGACTTCTTCTCAGTACTAAACTATTCTGCCGATAACCCTTAGTTGCACCGATTGTTTGAAATGGAGCCTTAAAGGTTTTCCTTCGTCTTATCGTTCACAGGAATCTATTAGTTTAGGATTTGTCAAACTATATCGTTATCAAGAACAGAGGAGATGAGTAATGGTCACGTAATGTGACTCACATTCATGCATTCTCTATCCTTAATTAACACCACATAGCTAACCAATTCAAGGACCAACACAGGTGAATTTTTTGAAAATATAGGTTGTAAACTTATTACTAATGTTTATAATTCTAAATGAATTGTTCACACGTGTATCTATAATATAAGCAACAGACGATTAGTTCAATTAATTAATACTTCACACTCCAGGTAGACCCACCTCTGAGGACTGAGGTGAACCATCTCCAACAATTGAACGGCACAATTCAAAGTACACTTTCACTAGTTACTTCAACTACTTGGAGACTTCTTTGTAACATACAAGGAGCTATGCCAGACTGGAACACAGTGAAAAGCCTTATTCATCAGTGAGCTAATTATCCAACTAAGATTGTAAAAATTGAGTGCAACAAAGGTGCATTACTCTAATTAGAGCTTAAGTTCTTCTACTCTATTGTCATAAAGGCTATCACTTTAAACACAATGTACATCTACTAAGAGGTGAACGCCGTATAAAATGAGGAAGACCGCGAGAATAGTCTTCTGTGGTTCAGCATTTTAAGGAACTATGAGAGGAGCAAAGGTATAAATCAACCCTCTCTCACACAAATGAATGGGAGAGAAACAAACATTAGTGGAATAACTACATATTGTCAAATGGCTATGGAATGGAATCCGGGATCCAAGTAGATTAGGTTAAGGCAAGTATGAGTTCAACCCTTTTCTCATCGGGCCAGGATCGATAGCCGTTCGACCTGAGGAAAGTGCGGTCAGATTCAGAGTCCACTATTTTTCTCAGAGGTGCAACTGATTGCTTCTCTTAACCATGCAGATCTAGGAAAGCAAAGTACTAATCTTGAGAGAGCAAGGAAAATAACAAGTAGGGTTCCACAAGTTTTACAATTTGATATATGCCCAATTGCCTTCACAGAACTTGTTCATCACATGCTAAGTGAAGCGACCACCAAGCTGATGAAACAATCAGTTGTAAGTTGTAACACACTCTTCAATAAACATCAATGAGAAATATCAATAGGAGCAAGCTCAAAATAGCACTACGTCAGGACAATTTTCCTTCAAAGCCAATCCCTGAGTCGCCTGTAAAGAGACATAATTGCATCAATATAACATCAAGAATAGTCCCACTGTGTGTCATAATGTTCACACAGGTCAAATGTGTCCTAAGCAATCTATAAAACATCTCTTCCTTCTCATCATTGCCAACAGATAAGTTTCATCGCTAACTGCTAAATAGTTGCTTGACCTCTCCATTACAGCAACTTTAGCATACCACTTGTGGTTATTCTTTAAGGGATTATCCATATTTAAGAAGGGAGGCAAAAACCAATTAAAGAGATACATATCCAAAACTCCTGTTATTTTTTGTTGTGAACCAATAGAATATTGTGGTGACAAAACGAGTTCATTTGACTAAATTGAGACACCTTGGCAATTTTCCTGTTTTCCATTCTTTGGTTGGATAAATCTCATTGTTTTTGCAATGAGGACTTAGCTTAAAATTCAGTAATAGAAATTAGAAAGGACTTAATTTACTTGTTAAGTTCTCAGCAGAGTTTAGCAGCTAGTAATTACCTTATAATTCTCTAACCGAAGTGACAGAACTAAGAATCCTTTCTTGCTTCTGCATCCTGATGTCTCCATGGATTAAGAGCGTCTCTGACAGCCTTGGCTTCAGGAGAATTCTCCCAGGCTCTCTTTTCCGCTTCTAGAACAGTAACCTTATCATCTGATACAAATTGCTACCAAGATAAGCAGCATACACACTTGAGAAAACCTCTAAAATGCTGATATCGTAATATTAAACTGTTATCATTAGCACGGACACACACAAGGGGAGAAAGTATGAGCAAAATTAGGTTTCTACTATTAGTCAGCTCTGAAGTTCAGTGACAGTTATCTCTAAATTGTAGGGGATAATCGCAATCAATCTCTAGAAGTATAAACTATGAAATCAATCAATAACTAGACCTCATTCAGAAACCAGTAGGTATCAGCTATTAGCTATATGAATCATCTGTATCCCTTCAACTGAATTCAGGTCCATTTCATTCCACAAGTCCTCTAGAATACATTATATGATAAAAAAAGAAAATCAAAATATTTCCAAAATGAAAGGCATTGCAAATCTCTCATTTTTCATTCATTTTTAATGAAATAAAGATTCAATCTTCCTTTATCTTTCTCAGAAATGAAAAATGGGTTAAGGCATACATGAGAGAACAGAAAGAAGTAGAAAAGTAAAGACGAGAGAAAAAAAGAGTAGTTTTCATACAAAATCCAGTCTTAATCATGAAAAACTCCATGGAACCTCCAATCATGGCCGAAACAACAGCAATTTTCAAATACCAATCCCAGAATTTCATTTTTACCCTTGTAACACTGCTTCAATTCCTGCAAATCAAAAGAGAATTTTCAAGAACCGAGCAACAGTCGGGGAAAGCTAATAGTAGACTCGAAGCTACTACCATATGTAAATCAACTCGAAACAAAAAGCACCAAAAATTAAAATTGTTGATCCAATTGAGGTTAACTCAATCAATCAACTATACTTAATCTCAAATACAATGTGTAAATCCTCATTATTCATATTCAACTGATTCATCAATCATCATAGTTAGATTAATTTTACCTATTAGCCCAAGCAATACTGATTCTACTGCTTCTTCTCCGTTTTCTTGATTTCTTCACTTCAATGAATCCATAGGTTTGCTGTTTGTGCCACCAGCCTATCAATGGAGCGGGTCGGGACCGATTACGGCCCAATATTTGGGTCTACGGACCCCTATATCATTTTATGAGAAAATTAGATTTAAAATCAAAATTCCTTACCTAAAAAAACTCAATTATCAATAATAATAATAATAATAATAATAATAAACGGCAATTCACTCATTCTAATTTAGAGTTAAATGTCAAAAATATATTTAAATTATCCTTTTTTTTTATTTTATATTTAAATTATTGCTAGTGTGAGAAACACACCTAAATAGGGTTGTTCAAAACCGAATCGAAACCGATAATTCAAACCGAAAAAAGTTATTGGTTTATCCGTAATGGGTTATTGGTTTAGCGGTTTTGATAACGATTTTGATTTTTTGTTATCGGCTTATCGATTCTTAACGGTTTTAGGTTTTTTTCTTAACGGGTTAACTGATAACCCGATAGTAAATTAAATAAGGAAAAATCACCTCATATACCCAGATTCTGAGTTTAGACTCTTGCTATTTTTAGGAAAAATCACCCCATATACACATTTAAGAGTCAATATTACAGGTTTTAAATCTACTTTTAAAAAATTCTTGCTTCTAACAGTTTAATTACGGGTTATAACATATCACTAATTATTTATAAATTAATTAAATTTTACTTTATTAAATAAGTTATTTTTTATAATTTTATATTATTATTAAATTATTTAAATAAAGAATACCCCATAATTATCTCTTACACAATTATAGGGATTTACATTGATTATTGTTCCTTTTTTACAGTTACAAGTCACACCCACTCCATCTAAATCCCTCACCCCACGTCAATTCCACGTTAAAAAAACAGAAATTCATCTTTCATCTCTTTCATCCATACTCCATTGAAGCCGGTTTTTCAACATCTAAAAACTGATTAGGAGAAATATATTCTCCATACAATCAAAACAAAAGGACAGATCTCTAAGTTGCAATTTTCAATAATTTTAGTATTTTGGAGAAACCCCGTTTGATAATTGTATTGCAAGAAAGTTTATTTTACCATTTTCATGGAGGTGAATCAGAGATGTTTTGAGGTTGATCCTTTCTGGGTTTTGCTTATTTGAGTTCTTACTACGTGGGGAATGGTAAAAAATCGAATCTTTATTGATTTTGCTAATGTTTTTGGGAGATTTATGGCCATGTGTAGTGTAGATTGGAGTTTATTATAGGAGGTAAAGATATTCTTGAAACTTTATGTTGTTTGAACTCTTGAAAAGTACTGTTGAGTGTGTGTTGTCCTCCAAAAGTTAATTGGGTTTTTTACTACATGGGATATGGTTAAATCAATTTAGTAGATTTTTTTGTTAAAATTGTTATATTATGCATATTATTGGTATGAAAGCTGACTTAATATACGATTTATGAATATGGTATGAAATGTGTTTTAACATTGGTATGAAATTGATTTATTGTTGGTATGAAAGCTGACTTAAGTTGTGTATTATTTTTATCAGAAAATGGTGTGATATCAATGGTCCAATTATGTGAATTGATTGTAGTTTGTTAAATCATCCTTTTTTTTGTGTGTATAAATTATGACTAATGTTGGTATGAATTTGATATTTTCTTATAATACCTATTTATTTTTTTTATAATAAGAAGGTTTCTTTTTCAATTTCTCCAACTAGGTTGATGGCAATGCGGAAAAACAAAGAATGATGATGGCGCGATCAGTGAGAGTGAAGTAACTGGGATTGTTGCTAGCAAATTTGATGGATCCCGCATAGCAAAAGAACATGCTCCAGATACCAGCAATTATCCTACACCAAGATTACGGAGATCAAATTTGAGATAGTTGATTGCAACTTAGACTCTTTAGTATTTCATGTCTTTTTAACTTTTGAACGATATATATTTGTTTTTATACAGTTTTAAGTATTGAATGATATAGAATATGCATTGTTTTATTCAAGTCAGTTAGCAACTACATATGAATTACAGATTGACTCTCATAATTTCAAGATACTAGTTATATACAGACTGCATATCAATTGGATACAAATTTCTGGATATCAGTTATATACAAACTACATAACAATTGGATACATAAACAGTTTAGTTTTGATATTTAGTTGGAGATAAAAATGAACACCATATAATTGGTATCCAAACTGTATATAGTTGACATCCAATTATTCATACCAACATTTATTCAACCTGAAGGATCTCATCTACCACCATGTTTAATTAATATAGATAAGCAGTTGTCCATCACAACAAAATAAAGATTTTTCAAACAAAAAAAAACTTGATTTAATCGTCAGTGACAACAATTCTGGAAAAAAAACCCGAAGAGAGAGTAACATAGATGAAAATGGATAAAATCATATTTTTTAAATTAATTTCAACATATTAGAGTGAATTAAGGAAACTAAATATTCCTAATTAGTTTGAATCTCCTAAATTCATGTTAATTAATAATTATCATCAATCAATTCAAATTTTATTAATACACCTATTTCCGTTTTTTTCTTCAAAATAGATTTATTTTCCTTTTTTATTTTTTTATTTATTTTCAAAATCGATTTTTTATCCTTTTTATTTTACACCTAAATTATGTATTACTCATTAGTTTAATTTGAGAAACACATAGCAATATTGACTAAACCAAATGTATATATACTATATACACACACTTAAGTAGGTCTGGCCTTGAATTTGCGTTCTCATGACTTTTTATTTTTGGTAACACGTTTTCTTATTATTTTTAAAACCTTCAACTCTCCCCCCACCCGATAGTAAATTAAATAATTATATTTATACCATTTTGTACATAAAGTCCTTGACTTAAGAGTTTGGTTTCCTACTTTTATTTCTGGTTGTCCCAAACTCTTGGTTATTATACAATGTAAAAGTATTTGTTTTTGAGAAAAATGTAACTTGTGAACTCATGTGCATGGTTCATTTGATTTGTCACCTTGTTTTAAGTGACTTTTAATTATTTTTTTTGTCAAATCTTAACGGTTAAACCGATAATCGAACCGATAACGATCAATAACCGATAAGTCAATATCTTAATGGTTCTACAACAGTTTAGCATCTCTACAAACCGATAATCAATAAGTCAAATCGATAAACCTCAAAATCGAACCGATCGATACGCAGCCCTACACCTAAATTATGTATTACTCATTAGTTTAATTTGAGAAACACATAGCAATATTGACTAAACCAAATGTATATATACTATATACACACACTTAAGTAGGTCTGGCCTTGAATTTGCGTTCTCATGACTTTTTATTTTTGGTAACACGTTTTCTTATTATTTTTAAAACCTTCAACTCTCCCCCCACCCGATAGTAAATTAAATAATTATATTTATACCATTTTGTACATAAAGTCCTTGACTTAAGAGTTTGGTTTCCTACTTTTATTTCTGGTTGTCCCAAACTCTTGGTTATTCTACAATGTAAAAGTGTTTGTTTTGAGAAAGATGTAACTTGTGAACTCATGTGCATGGTTCATTTGGTTTGTCACCTTGTTTTAAGTGATTTTTAATTAATTTTTTGTGTCAAATCTTAACGGTTAAATCGATAACAATCAATAACCAATAAGTCAATATCTCAATGGTTCTACAACGATTTAACATCTCTACAAATCGATAACCAATAAGTCAAATCGATAAACTTCAAAATCGAACCGATCAATACGCACCTAAATTATGTATTACTCATTAGTTTACTTTGGGAAACACATATCAATATTGACTAGACCAAATGTGTATATATTATATATACACACTTAAGTAGGTCTGGCCTTGAATTTGCGTTCTCATAACTTTTTATTTTTGGTAACACGTTTTCTTATTATTTTTAAAACCTTCAACTCTCCCCCCACCCGATAGTAAATTAAATAATTATATTTATACCATTTTGTACATAAAGTCCTTGACTTAAGAGTTTGGTTTCCTACTTTTATTTCTGGTTGTCCCAAACTCTTGGTTATTCTACAATGTAAAAGTGTTTGTTTTGAGAAAGATGTAACTTGTGAACTCATGTGCATGGTTCATTTGGTTTGTCACCTTGTTTTAAGTGATTTTTAATTAATTTTTTGTGTCAAATCTTAACGGTTAAATCGATAACAATCAATAACCAATAAGTCAATATCTCAATGGTTCTACAACGATTTAACATCTCTACAAATCGATAACCAATAAGTCAAATCGATAAACTTCAAAATCGAACCGATCAATACGCACCTAAATTATGTATTACTCATTAGTTTAATTTGAGAAACACATAGCAATATTGACTAAACCAAATGTATATATACTATATACACACACTTAAGTAGGTCTGGCCTTGAATTTGCGTTCTCATGACTTTTTATTTTTGGTAACACGTTTTCTTATTATTTTTAAAACCTTCAACTCTCCCCCCACCCGATAGTAAATTAAATAATTATATTTATACCATTTTGTACATAAAGTCCTTGACTTAAGAGTTTGGTTTCCTACTTTTATTTCTGGTTGTCCCAAACTCTTGGTTATTCTACAATGTAAAAGTGTTTGTTTTGAGAAAGATGTAACTTGTGAACTCATGTGCATGGTTCATTTGGTTTGTCACCTTGTTTTAAGTGATTTTTAATTAATTTTTTGTGTCAAATCTTAACGGTTAAATCGATAACAATCAATAACCAATAAGTCAATATCTCAATGGTTCTACAACGATTTAACATCTCTACAAATCGATAACCAATAAGTCAAATCGATAAACTTCAAAATCGAACCGATCAATACGCACCTAAATTATGTATTACTCATTAGTTTAATTTGAGAAACACATAGCAATATTGACTAAACCAAATGTATATATACTATATACACACACTTAAGTAGGTCTGGCCTTGAATTTGCGTTCTCATGACTTTTTATTTTTGGTAACACGTTTTCTTATTATTTTTAAAACCTTCAACTCTCCCCCCACCCGATAGTAAATTAAATAATTTTTTTAAAACCTCAAACCCCCCCCCCCCCCTCCCCACACCCCCACACACACATACTACATTTCTATGATAACCTCCTCCTCCTCC